CATACTGTTAAGAAAGCTTAGGAGCAGAACACCCGCGTTTCCCGTACACACAGAAACCGTCTTGTAATAACCGCCCTGTGTATGTGTGTATGTGTGTATGTGTGTATGTATGTATGTATGTATGTATGTATGTATGTATGTATGTATGTATGTATGTATGTATGCATGTATGCATGTATGCATGTATGTATGCATGTATGTATGTATGTATGTATGTATGTATGTATGTATGTATGTATGTATGTATGTTTGTGCCATGCTGCTGCTCGTCTTTTGACGTGTGAGGGTTAAACCCCCTAGTAGCCCCTTCGAATCCCCCAAGGGGCGAGAAATATTACTTTTTAATGATAAAAGCATTACACTCGTTTATCAATTGAGAAATCTCCTGTCGGACGGATAGAACTCCTCTTCAAAAGGTAGTGGACGGACGCCATGTCACACGGCGCCTCCCTCGAGTAGCTAGACGACGAGTGGGCGAGTGAGCGAGCGAGTGAGTGAGCGAGCCACATCAAATCGAAATCCCTTCTTTGCCGGCCCCCCCCTCCCCCTCTCTCCCATCTAGATGAAGTTTCATCATCATCATCATCACATCACCACATTCATCGACTACATCACCACATCTAAATACTAAATGTTGGACACATTACAACACATTTCAAAGCCAACAGAATATCACAATAACACACACCCATTCAAGTCACGGAGCAAAGCGAAGCAAAGCAAAGAAGCTACAACGCCGTCCGTCCCCCCCCACAATATTAAGTATATAAACACGCACATACAAGCACGCACACACAAGCCGTGAAAACCTCTTCCCCCCCCGCCATGTACCGCTTCCCCTTCCGAGCGATCAACCTACCTACTTAACTATCTTCACCGGGGGCACGTGTACAGCACATTCCGTACAGCACAATCCTGCCGTACAGCTGCCGTACATCTGTTTCCCCCCACACATATTTATCGGAAAACATTAAGTCACTATTTTTCGACTCCTCTTCCCTTTCCAACGGTAACCGCAGTGTGCACTTCCTTTCATAACCTCTTAAACTACTAACCGAGGGGTGAAACCCGAAACGGCACACCTCAGACTCACACACGCACATACATACAGACAGCCCAATCATCACCAGCGTTCCAATTATAAACTCATTTAACAGCCAATTATGTAGCGCCAATAGACACCAAGTCGCGAAGTAAGCAAGCATTCGCTCCAGGTCCCAACCGCCCAGGAAAGTAGTACATGAGGTCGTACGGCACGTACGGCCTCCAGGGGGGCAGCACGCCCCGGGAAAGAAGGGAAATAGACATACACATACACACAGACACGGACAAACATCGCCGTGCGTGCGCACACATACGTCCTTCCCACAGGCCCCCCGGGACGCGCCTCTCTCCGCCCTACAACGGTATAACGGTATAACACCCATTTCGCCGTTTCGCCAGCTTGCTGCCAATCTGGCATCAACCGATGTACAAGCATGCATACGTACATACATACATACATACACGGTGCTGGTAAAAGTGTTGTCGGTGTGTGTGTGTGTGTGTGCGCAAATCAACGTGGGATATACATGGGTACATGGGTAGGTGGATGCAGCATATGCATCACAGACCGATGCGATACACCCGACTCTCTACCAGATTGTACGACTCTTCCCGCCATCTCCTTTTAATGATAGATCTCCGTACACACACACACACACACACGTCAGACAGCATAAAACTAAAAGATCTATAGAAGAGATAGATAGATATCCAATCGCGACATGTGACATCCAAATTCCTAAAAACCCAAAGCAAGTATCCATTTTTTCCGTACCCTCTCCACCATCCCCAGCGCAAAAGCTGCCGTAAGGAGGGTACCAGCTGATCGGAGGACTATCGGAGAGTAATGACGCCCCTGTCTTTTGGTCCGCCGCGCGCGCGTGTGTGTGTGTGTGTGTGGATGTCGGTCTGTATGTAATTATATTTTTTGTTACAAATCGATCCGGGCCTGGCGCTGGCCAGGGGGGCACCAGTTACCGTACCGTACCCCAACGGGAATGAGCACACCGCCGAAGCCCTCTCCTCCTCCGCCGCGTGTGTGTGTGTGTATGGGGGGGGAGGGGGGGAGAGGGGGGGAAGAGGGGCCGCAGTCCCCTCCTGCCTTGACCCACCCAGCGTCTATCTATCTACCTCGTTCATGTGATCGAGGATGAAAGAGAGAGCGCGGTGGCTACCAAGGTGGCTCCTCTCAGAAAACAAAACAACCAACCTTCACACGTTCCGCCGGCAGCTGGCAGCACGACTTGCGGGCGCCGCGGGTGCGCACCCAGGATGGTTTGGGTGGCTAACTGCATCACCTGAACATATGTGCATGTGTGCCTGTGTGTATGTATGTGTCCCTGTTTCTGGGCATATTCCGGGCCACGTCGTCGTAACGTGAACAGCCAAAACACCACAGCGCGCACACACACACACAGAGAGAGCCGCACATACATACAGGAATACACACGCACTCCCCCTCACCGATTTCAACCTTCTCAATTCTGCTCACCGCGTTGCACTGCATGGTACTGCATATGCCGCCAGCTGGATAGCTGCCATATGCCAGATTAAGATCAAAATGCACATTCGAAGACACAGCGGCGGAGGAAACCCCTCTTCCCTGGCTCGACACATACATGCATACATCCGTGCACACATACATCCGTACATACATATATCCGTACATACATAACATGTGCACAGGCGGGCATGTGTCGAGAGAGAGGTAAAAACCAACTCTCCATACCGAGTGGCAGTTGGGAGTTGTGACGAGAAGGTGAAACCCCCCTTCACCCCTTTTTTACCCCCAATCCCCCCTTTTTCAGTTCAGGGGGACAGACCAGCCGGAAGCGGGAAATAAGCAGGTCGATAGACATACAAACATACAGACAGATAGATATATATTTCGATAGTACGGCAGAAGGACCGTGGACGGGTGCGAGATACAAAAAGACACACGAGACATGAAAAGTCTTCGGAGAGAAACACCATTGCGGCACCGGTGCTGCTACTGCTACCCCTGATTCTGAGAAACCAACTTCCAATCCAACTTCTAAATATATATCCATCCTTCGTCCAAAATACCCATCCGTCTCATACTGTACAACAACATGTGGGGAGTACGGCAACATTGAGGCACCGTTTCCTCTCAGCACCATACGGGGAGGGCTGATGCTCGCGGGGCCGTAACAAGCAGATCAGGACGGGCAGAGACCTTCCTGCAGGTAGTACGACACGGCAAACCCTACTACCAAGGACACGCGGCAGCTTACATTTGTTGGGCGCGGTAGGGCCCCTTCCCCCGGCCTTTAACAACATTGACACCATAACATTAACACTACAGTAACAACACTACAACATTAACACTACAGTAACAACACTACAACATTAACACTACAGTAACAACACTACAACATTAACACTACAGTAACAACACTACAACATTAACACTACAGTAACAACACTAGTAGGGCACATTACAGCAGGAAAGAGAGGACGGTTCAGCAGAAAGGATGCAGTTACTGCTGCGGATGCTGCTACAGCTACCGAGCATAGGGGGGCACCAAGTGGCTCTACTACTGCTCAGATGATGCCGAGATGCGCTTGGCAGTGGCTGTAGCGGCTTTTGATAGTGCACCCGTTTTATACGTTTTCGGCCTTACCCCAACACAACCCACAAAACCGACAATAACAACTAACAACGAACGTCGTTCAATAAGTCTACATACATGTCTTTTTCCAACAATACCACCACCAATCAAACCAACGAATAAACTTTACATGTTGTGAAGAGAAGTCTGTCAATCTTGACTTTTTTCTTCATCTTCTTCTTCAACTCCGAAATGAAGTATAGCCGCTCTCTTGACACGACTCCTTTCCTTTTACCTTAGAATCGTATCTTCTCTCCTTTTTCTTTCCCTCCTCGGCTTGAAGAGATATATCAACTGCATGAAACATCCTCTTGCCTCTACTTCGTGTACGAAATCGTACTGCGCGGTCGATGTACTGATGTACGATTAACGTACTGTGCTCACGCCACCCACACCCACACCCACATACACCCCGCCTTACACCTTTTTACCCCCCCCCCCACGCACACACGTCGTGACACCTTCCCCCCACCCCTTCCTTCCTCTCCCCGCCAACCGACACACACACACATACATGCACACCCGGTCCTGTAGACGCTACGGCATGGAATCGCTGCTCTTTGGTGTTGTTCGGCCCCGATTCCCCGGTTCCCCCACCCCGGGGGTTTTGAAGCACCAAAAAACACACCACTTCGATAGTGTTCTTTCGATAACGCCTCCTTCCCACCCCCAGGGCTGGGGGGGGGGACTTAGGGTTTTCGTGTGTGTAGCAGCAGAGAGTCGATAACGAAGAAGACGAGGAGGATGAGGTGGTTGAGGTGGTTGCGGATGATGGTTGTCGGTTGGGGAATGGTGTTGGTCCGGGGTGATGAAACGGATGAACTACTTTCCCGGCGGCGACTCATACGGGTGTCCGTCTGCGTGGATGTGTGTATGTATGTAGGTAGGGGGTAG